CAACTGAATAAAGATGGCCACGGTTTATCCATTTATCTTCATTTTTCTCTGCTTTCACACAGAGTCTTTTCTCAGGAAATATGTATTTCCCGAGATCTTCTTCAAATTATCACTGTAATATCATAGTAAGTATTTTATCTTAACAACTCCAGATTTAGATAGTTAATTTATCCTGTGATGCTTTGTGCATAATTACTCAGTGGAAGTGTGTTGAAGAAATATTTGGGTGTATTAACATTGCATTTGTAATTACAAGCCAACTCAGTTCTGTGTCATTGTTTTTGTGGTATTAAAATTAATTATCAATGGAGAAATATTTTCAGTTTCATAATTGACAATAGAGTGAAGGCAAGAAATCCAATATTTAATTTTTATTATTTCAGAGTGAATATGGAAAAGTACCTGTAAGTGAAGTTAATGCATGTTAAGAGTTTTATTTAGCGTATAAATCTTATTTTTCTGATGATATTCCAAAAAAGGTAAACAGTGAATTATGAAATAGCTGAAATATATATATATACACACACACACATATACGTATATATGTATTAGTGTATTGAACCTCATTAGTACAATTTTAATCAAAATCAGAGGGTTATAAATCAGAGAAAGAATAAAAGCATTCTTGGCTTATCTGTGATCCAAAGATTCTATTAATGATGTTTTAAAATGTCTCTTATTGACCAAACAGTTATGTTACACTGGAAGTACACATGCAAAAAAATTGATGAGTTGAAACAGGTGAAAAAATATTGTGAGGCAGGTTGGAAAATATTTGTAAAATAATATGTTAACTACCATAGCAAGGTCAATAAGATTGCTGAATGGGCATACTAAAAACACTCCTCCCCTCTCTGCTTTAAATAATAATAACAGTAATTTTGTTATTAGTGTTAATAACCTATATTTACCCAGTAAATTTTTCACAGTTCTCAAAGGTCTCTTACTCATTCTGTTATTTAATATTTGCACCAACCTTATGAAAAATGCGAGTCAGATATTGTAGTATTACAGTGAAGGGTACAGAGGATTGGAAAATGAATGGATAGAAACTTCATCAGAGGCCATATTGTAAAATAAATACAGTTTTCAAAGTTAGAGGTCTGTTTAAAAAGTAGATTTTAAACACGATGAATCTTTTACTAGGTATGGAAGATTTATTATGGAAATTCATTGGTCATTACTTTTAAACATATTCAATCTAAGGGCAGAACTTTTGAAAATTATCTGGTTTGAATGATGGTTGTAAAAATTCCTCAAAATATTTAGAGATAAATGACTCAAGAAAATATAAAGATGTTTAAGGTAGACTTAAAAAAAATGTTTGGAACAAGTGAGACTGTGAGGTTACTATTAAGGCACTAATTTTCCCATACGTAATGTGGAAATAATAGTATCTTTAGGTGTGCTTAATGACTATTAGAGTTACATTATCCACATGGGCTGAAAAGTAGCAGATATCTATGGGAGGCCACAATACACAAGCACTTAATCTTCCAAAACAAAAAAGGTCCCAACTGGGATAGGGGTATGGAAGTATTGGGGAATTGTCACGTACATCATCATTATTATTATTTGACGAAGGGTACCAAAGGATTCCCTGATCTCTGCCTCTCAGTCTGCTTCGCCACTATAGTGTAGGGCTGAAGAAGTTACAGGTCATGTGTCATCCTTTCTTACAGACCCAGAGCTAATGTTTCCAGAAAATGGAACAGGGCATAGGGATGACTCTAAGAAAACAACAGTAAGGTCTGAATATATATTATGTGATCTGTCAGCTAATGCCGGTGCCCAGGCCTGTCAGTAGTTTTTTAGTACTGCATCAGAGTAAGAACAAATTTAACAAGGAAAAGGCACAGAAGAAGATAACATATTCTTGCACACTTTTTTCCATGACTGGCCATTGGGAAAAGTCTTCCCTTGACCAATGGAGTATTCTAATGGGACATTAGAGTTCCATTCCTGTCAAAGGCAAATTTATAAAATAATGTTCCTAGTAAAAAAAGTAGTGTATTTTATGATTTTTTTCTCCAACTTAATCCACATATCTAAATGATCAAACTAGGGACGCCTGGCTGGCTCAGTCAATAGAGCACGTGACTCTTGATCTTGGGGATGTAAGTTCCAGCCTCATATTGGGTTTAGAGATTACTTAAAAATTTTTTTAAAAAGAAAATCATCAAACTAATAAACTTGTTTTTACATTGCACTCTGGAGCCTGCTTTCTTGCTTGGGTTTGAATCCTCAATGCACCTCGAACTGTGCAAGTCATTAAAAACCCGTGCTTTAGTTTCTTTATCTGTAAAATGGTGATAATATTATTACGTACCTTACAGATTGTGAGGATTAAATGACTTGATCTATGCAAGAGCTTAGAACAGTTTATTAAAATGTTTTATGACCGATATTATTAGTGTTTAGTGTTATTTATTTTTAGTAGGATATTTTTTTAGTTTAACCATGAATACTAAAAAAATAGTATAAAATAAAGATGTCCTATGTTCTTAGTTTTAATGTAATAGCTATTGGCATTATCTTATAAGCTTGACAATTACAACAGTTACTCCATTTTGTTATTTTTACCATTATTTATACAAATTACATATTGAAATACTTGTAATTTTTTAAAAGATTTTATTTTTATTTATTCATGAGAGACACAGAGAGAGGCAGAGACACAGGCAGAGGGAGAAGCAGGCTCCATGCAGGGAGCCCAATGTGGGACTCGATCTCGGGACTCCAGGATCACACCCTGGGCTGAAGGCAGGCGCTAAACTGCCGAGCCACCCAGGGATCCCCAAAATAGTTGTAATTTAATATAAAGTAAGTGCATGGCGCATGGTTTACTTCTTTTCAAATTATGCAATTTGAAAGATAAACTTCCAACACCTGCATAAAGTAAAAAGTTAATTTTGAGTATCTCGTATGCATGATCCAAACATGATGAAAGTAATGATTAATTTAGAAGTAATTTGTGCTGTAGAGCCATAACACAAACAGTAGTTATTTACTTTAAGTGCTTATTTATTTTTGCTTAGAATGTATTTGTGTGCTATTCCTCTACTAATTAAAATATGAAATAGTTCTGTTGTTCTAAATTCTATTCTACCCACATTGTTGCTGCTTAGAATTATTGAATGATGAGTTGTAAATATTATCAAATATCACATTATTCAATGCTGGCTCATTAAATGTTAAATATTTTATAAGAGAATAATTATAGCCCCGTATGACTTTTTGAATAATTATTTATAAAATTTTGGTAGAGTTGGATATTTAAATTTGGAGGGTGTCCTTTTTTATTTGGTGTCATTGATTTGTTCTTTCACTGTTAGTAGTCACTCTATGACCTCAGGAAAGTCAATAACCAAGGTGTAATAATTGGGCATTTAAAATAAAGATAATCCTGCAGGATTAGTCACTATTGGTACTAAAACATAAACACTATAAATTCTAAGTGTTAAAACATTCTAGAAGCCAGGGAAAATTTCTTTCATATAATACTTCAAGAATCATGTGCTTTGAGGGTGCTACATAAATAAAGTAACTTTCACAACAAGCCAATTACTACTTGAAAATCTTGTCTCCACAAATCATATTGGATTATAATTCAGTATATGTCATTTCTTACCATTCTTTTAAGGAGATATTATGAAAGACACGGTCAATTTGATTTATGCTCATGATGGAAATACAATCATAAAAATTCTCTAGAGGGAATAGCCCAGAAACCACTGAACTTTCTTCTTTTACTACCTCTGTGGTTTTTTCTTTTCTTCAGAAAACTGATTTTTCCCTGCCCCTCTGTGCTACAAAGGAGATTACAGTCAAGTCTTTACTTGTATATACGTCCCACCTCTGACCACTAATACCTCTGCTGCTAAAACCCTAGTCCAGGCAATTCTCTCTTTTTTAGATCTCTGCACAAGGCTTTCAACTAAGCTTTCCTGCCTCTGCTTTTGCCCTCCCCCCCCCTTTTTACACCCATGCCATTAAACAAGCCAGATATACCTAAAGCATAAATTTGATCATAAATCTCCTTTGCATAAACATTTCTCATGGCTTCTCCGTAAAACTGGAACAAAATCCAAATGCCTTATCCAGGGATATGCATTTCTACTAGATCTCATCACCTTTCATTCGACCTTTCCTCCAGCAACAACCCCCACCTCCACTACCCTCAAGTCTCCCAACTACATTCTCATTCTTTCTGTCTCTAGAACACATGCCTCATGACCCTTGCACTTCTGTTCACTTTTAGAATTCTTCTCTTAGATCTTTGATTGCCTCCTCAAAATTTATGCCCCTATTCAAAGGTCATCTTCTTAGAGAAGTCTCTCCTAAATACTCTGAATAAAATAGACTTCTCTTTCTTCCAAGTCTTTCTCTGTCCCTTTACCCTGTTTAATTTTGTTTAGTATTTACCACTACCTGCTATTACAATAATCATCTGTGTTGTCTTCTCCTTTGTGTACTGCTGTGTCTTTAGTATTGTCAGACATGTCTGGCATATGGTTGGTATATAATAAACATCTGTTGAACGAAAGTATGGCTGTTTTCAATAATGGGCTGTTTTTTAGCTCTATATGACTCTACTATCATCCCAGCATTCCTACCTATGCTTCCATCGTCTTTCTCTGGTCCTAAGGCTCCAGGCAAAATGGTCTTATTTTATCTCTTTTTATTCATCTCCACTTTGATTATTGTCTTAACTCTAGCCATTCTGATCGTAGTTATATTGTGGCTGACTTCTGTAGATAAAATAGCCTCAGTTGTCTTTGATGACAGTTTGCTCTTTCCAGAGCCCACCAGGGAATAAAAGGAATTAAGATATTTTCCAATTTTTTTCTTGCAGCAAAACTTCTGATTCATATGTAGTCTCAAGCTCAAGATACATCTCTCATTAAGGATAAAATCTGGAAAGAGTATTAAAGTTAAATCATGTTTCTGAGCTTACACAGGTGATGACAGAAATATAATGTACCTTGTTTTTCTTTTAGATCTCCCACTAAAGGCATGGATTCAGAGGAGAAGGAAATTGTGGTTTGGGTTTGCCAAGAAGAGAAGATCGTCTGTGGGTTAACTAAACGCACCACCTCTGCTGATGTCATCCAGGCTTTGCTTGAGGAACATGAGACTACATTTGGAGAGAAACGATTTCTGCTGGGGAAGCCCAGTGATTACTGCATCATAGAAAAGTGGAGAGGCTCAGAACGGGTTCTTCCTCCACTCACTAGGATCCTGAAGCTTTGGAAAGCTTGGGGAGATGAGCAGCCCAATATGCAATTTGTTTTGGTTAAAGCAGATGCTTTTCTTCCGGTTCCATTGTGGCGGACAGCTGAAGCCAAATTAGTGCAAAACACAGAAAAAGTGTGGGAACTCAGTCCAGCAAATTACATGAAGACATTACCACCAGATAAACAAAAAAGAATAGTAAGAAAAACGTTCCGGAAACTGGCTAAAATTAAGCAGGACACCGTTTCCCATGATCGAGATAGTATGGAGACATTAGTTCATCTGATCATTTCCCAGGACCATACTATTCATCAGCAAGTCAAGAGAATGAAAGAGCTGGATCTGGAAATTGAAAAGTGTGAAGCTAAGTTCCACCTTGATAGGGTAGAAAATGATGGAGAAAATTATGTCCAGGATGCATATTTAATGCCCAGTTTCAGTGAAGTTGAGCAAAAGCTGGACTTGCATTCTGATGAAAACCAGATTTTGGAGGACCTGACTGAAAGTGACGGAATCGTACACCTGGAGGAAAGATTAGCATATTACCGAATGCTCATTGAGAAGCTCTCTGCTGAAATAGAAAAAGAGGTAAAAAGTGTTTGCACAGAGATAAATGAGGACGCAGAAGGGGCAGCTGCAGGTGAGCTTGAAAGCTCCAATTTAGAAAATGTCAAGTGTGATTTGGAGAAAAGCATGAAAGCTGGTTTGAAAATCCACTCTCACTTGAGTGGCATCCAGAAGGAGATTAAATACACTGACTCATTGCTTCAGATGAAAGCAAAAGAGTATGAATTCCTGGCCAAGGAGTTTAATTCACTTCATATTAGCAACAAAGATGGATACCAGCTAAAGGAAAACAGAGGGAAGGAATCTGAGGTCCCCAATAGCAGTGGGGAGGTTCCCTCCTTGACTCAAAGAGTATTTAACTTGTATACAAATGACACGGACTCGGACACTGGTATCAGCTCTAACCATAGTCAGGACTCAGAAACAACTGGAGGAGACATGGTGCTATTGTCAACATAATTTGACTGGCTTGTCTCTGACCTACCTTAATGTTCATGTTTGTTTAATAGGAAACTTTATTTTAGATGTCATTCTGAGAACGATGTAAATCATGTTAAGTATTCAGTAGCTAATACAAACTAGAGAAAATTTATTTTTGATTTAAGAGTTCTAAAGTGACCTAATTATTACAAGTTCAGTCGGTGAGCTGTTTATTAGGAATGCAGCACAAATAGCTTGCAGGTGTAGAACAGAAATAATTTGATGGAAATTATAATCTCTTACAGTTTCTGTGAGAAATGATTTATGCAAACAGAACCAGTTCTTAATATTGCAGTCAATATATTGGAACTATTCACGTGAACAAGTAAAATCAAAAATGTGCTGTAACATATTTTTTCAAAGCTGTATTATTGGAATTTTTAAGTCTGTAAAGTACATGACAGCTATTCTGTTGTAACTGTATGAATTCAAGTCTTGGTTCTTCCTGTTGATACTTAGAATACACTTCATCTCTGTCACTTTCTGAACCCCTCTACCTGTTTTAAGATGACAGGAAGTGGGAAGGGCTGCCCATGGGACATGTATATAGATCTAGCAGTGGATTGGATGGGGGTTACAGATGAGAAAGAACCACGTTGTTAAGAACTAAGTCTGGGCTTTCTCCGACAAAGCAAAAATCTTCTGATCAAACAAATGGTGGAAGCAGGTTCGTTTTTTGAGTAAGGTGTGATGTGGGTTACAGAGAAAATCACAGGGTCGCAGTCCTGTTTATTTACACCCTGTCTACAAAAGTCCAAGAGAGGCAACTTGTGGTCCTTTGTGTGGGTAAAACAGAGTTCTGTATACTCTAAGTATTAGCATTTTGTCTCTGAACCTACAGAGGGGAATTCACATGGACAGAAACCTTTTATTCTGTTAAACTGGAATTCAGATCTCTGTAGATCTTCAGCTAAGGTGCAAAAAAAAAAAAAAAAAGATTAGCTTTAGCTCTAACCCCACTCCTCCCCCAAGGATGCTAGTAAATATCCAACAAACTGAACGGATAATTTAAGATAATTTAGATCCTACCTTGAGATGACACTCATTAGAGTGCCAAACATTAGAGGCTTGGTTTTACCTGGTGTTTAGTTAGGAAGTTTTCCTCCCTCTCTCCCTTCTCTGCTTCTTGCCAGTAAACACATGATGTCGTCATATTGTAAACAGTTAGTTTTATTGTACTGTTAAATAAATATCACTGTGGTTTCTTTTTTTTTTTTTTATCACTGTGGTTTCTTTTTCTTTAAGACACTTTTCCTGTATGTCAGTGTGCATGCAAGTAAGAATATTATTTTACTTAAGTTTTCATACGTGGATATGAAAGATTTTTGAGAAGATTTTTGAGGATATGAGAAGATTTTTCTCATTCCCTTTTATTCCCATGCTTACTGTAGTGCGTGTTTTAACTGAGTTTCCTAACCTACTTTTTCATTTCTCCATCCCCCAGACTTTTCACCAGTCTTTGGGAAGATACTTAGAATGTTTAGGATTTCACTTTTGGAGAGCATCTGTGTTATTATTTCTCACACCTAAGATAATGCTAAGGCTTCGGTTGAAATTGGCTAGTAGAGAATGTAGGAATTTCAGGGAAAACATAGTGATTAAAAAGTAATAATGTTAACATTATTAATTTAAAAAAAGAAGGGAATTGAATAGTCATCTGAGAAAGGGAAGTTTATTTGCCAAATATCTCATTAAATCATTCAACAATAGGGCAAGTTATTGATAAAGTCATTGTTCACTTCTGGGGATTAAATTCATAAGATTATCATTAGTGATAAACCAATTGCAATGTTGAAAGCAATCTCTTTGGATTACTCTGGTGAGAAAATAATGAAAAGAACATTACTTATATGCTATAAAATTTGATTACTTATCTGAATTCAGAAGAGGTTCTGATAAGAAATCAGACTGGACAGATAATTTCATTTTAGAATCTTTGAATTAACTTCTGCTTTTATATAGTTAAGTACAGTGATACATTCTAAGGACCACTCCTATATTTTTACAATATATTATGTTATAAGCTCTTGTCAGAAAGCAGAACTATTGATTTTTAAATTCACTTTAGAATTTCTAGTTGTTTTTTAGTTACACAGATGTATTTGTGCTTTTGATTCATGACAATATTAAATCTTCAGTTACCATGCTGAATCTTTAATTTAGAGTAATATATTAGTACACATATAAGGCAACTACAATTGCCCTCATCTCTGGATACTGAGCTATTCTTTATTAAATTGAGAATTTGAATTATAAATATAGAACTTGACCTAAGCTTTAATGTTTAGTTTTAATTATGTATAGAATCTTTAAAGTGTTTATAAATTTTTGAGTAACCTAACAGGTTAACTATGAAATTGCTATATGCAGCTAGAAGTAGCAAACCAAAGCTGACTATTCTTCCTTCTAGTAACATCTTATATTTTCATGGACTGTACCGTGTTCATTCTCCCCCTCGTAATGCCTTTTTTCCCCTCCATCCACCATACATGGAAACCTACCCATTTTGCTTTTTTAACATGTTATGTCTTCTACGAAACACTTATTCCATTTAATCAGTTGTAATATCTTATCTCTGAGCCTACAACTATTTTAGGTGTACTTTTCATAGAGGGGCACTTATATTACTGCTTAGTTTATATTTATTTATGCACTTACCTAATTTCCCTTGCCCAATGTATTTTTTACTATTTTATTACTTTGTTTTCTGTCTTGTTAACTGTAATCCCTCCAGTCAACCTCTTTACCTCTTTGCCCTTCAATTTTTGAATTGAAATGGTAAATTTTAGAAGGCCACATCCATTTAAAAAAATCATTTCTATGTGTGGTAAATGATGCTCATGAGTTTTTATATGTAAATATGCATTTTAGCAGACTTAAAAGAGTAACAGTAATTCTACTTATGAATTCTTTAGGGGAGGCACTAAATCTTTGTGGTATGAAAAAAATTTAAATTGGTAAATTTTTTATTTTAAAGTCAAGGTTACTGATTTAAGGCAATGCAAATATTACCTTTTAAAGGGCTCTCAATGGTTAAATTATGGTATTTTCCTTTGCATTGTATGCATGTAGGAAAAAATATATTATCCTGCATAATATATTGAATTGAATGGAGTTGAATTTTAAGTAGTAGACACAAACTTTCAAACAATGTCCTAAATGAAATAATCTATTTTATTTTCTCTAACTCAAAAAAATAAATGTCCTCTCAGTGTATTGAACCTATTCTAATCTATTAAATTTTTATTTTTATATTATTTAAACATTGTACGTGACAAAATATACTTCTGTGGCTGCATTTTATAGTTTTTCAAAATAGGTTTGTTGTTTTATTTAGAATGTATTTTTCTAGTTGACAAAAGCAATATCTTTTAATCCAGATATAGATTTTTAAAAAATATTTAGGCTATTTCTTCTCATACTACCTGACTGGTTTAATAAACCTGATGTAACAAATATAAAATATATATCATTTCTTCAAGTGTAACTAATCCAGAATAATAAAAGAAATAGTTGTATCCTTTCATGTGATATTGCTTGTCTTTCTGGGTGTGTTATTGGACTATATTAAAAATAAATTTTATTTAAAAAAATAAATTTTATATTAGAATTATATAATTGTTGAGCTAACTTAAACAAATTAAGATCAGGTATTATTTCATGAGAATATATAGCAAATAAGACCTAATAAAGCTTTTTATTAGGTTTCATACATATCTGTTTCAATTTGTCATGAAAGCATGTCCTTACTTCTATACTAAATGACTGTTTTTATGAGCTGGTATCTTGCTTTCCAGAATGAAATCCATTTCAGTGTAATAATATTCAAATGCACATCTTCAAGTGTAATAATATTCAAGTGTAAATTTTCCCTGCTATTATTTAGTTGGTCACTACCCTTATTTCTCAAAATAGTCCTGTAATTTTGACTCTTTAATAATTGAATCACTTGAAAATTAAGAAAACTCATTTGGTCATTCTATAAATAACCAGGAAATGACTCTACTAAAAGATTGTATATAATGTCCAGTGACAACACACAGGAATAAGTTAACCCTATTTTCTTAGCCATGGATTATCTCTAGAACAACTCATAAAGTGTTATCCAATCAATAACATTACTGTGAGGGTGTATTTCTAGATTAGAAATGCTGTGTCAAAGAATGAGAAATGGATTTTTAAATTTTAATAAGCTTTACTAATTATTCTTTATGGAAATTGATCATTTATGACTTGAGTTGATAATATAGCCCCCCCCCCCCCCCGGTGAGTGCTGTTTTTCTCTTTATTGGTTATTTTATTTTATTTTTTAAAGATTTTATTTATCTATTCATGAGAGACACAGAGCAGGAGAGAGAGAGGCAGAGACACAGGCAGAGGGAGAAGCAGGCTCCATTCAGGGAGCCTGACCTGGGACTCAATCCCCAGCCCCCAGGATCAGGCCCTGGGCTGAAGGCGGCACTAAACCACTGAGCCACCCGGGCTGCCGTTTATTGGTTATTTTAATGCAAAAATTGTTAAGGATATTTTTGAATTTAAAGTTAAGGGTTTTTCTCACTAACAACTCATGAGGGCAGCCCGGGTGGCTCAGTGGTTTAGCTCCTGCCTTTGGCCCAGGGCCTGATCCTGGAGTCCCAGGATCGAGTCCCACATCAGGCTCCCTGCATGGAGCCTGCTTCTCCCTCTGCCTGTGTCTCTGCCTCTCTCTCTCTGTGTGTGTTGTGTCTCTCATGAATGAATAAAATCTTAAACAAAACAAAACAAAAACCTCTCATGAGCTGTTTTTTTCTTTGTTGTTCTTAAAAAGGCCTTCCCACTGCATGATAACTCATTTTAAAAGTACATTTCTTCCATGCATTCTTTATACTACATATTTTTTTGGTTTTACTTTTAAACATTTGAACTGTCTGGAATTTATTTTGTTACAATATGCAAAAGTGGGTAGACAATATTTTTTCTTTTTTGATACGTACCAGTTATCCCACATCACTTACTGAAGAATGTTGTTCCACTTTTTAAAAGTCACCTTTTTTGGGGAAGCAAATTCTGGTATATAGTTGAGATCTATTTCTGGACTTTCTGTACCATACCATTAATTTGGCAGTGTATTTTACCCCTGAAGAACACATTCTCTGACCAAAAATATATCAAAGAAAATCTGAATATGAAAGAAGTCTAATATTTCTCCTGATTTGTGTAGGACAAAGACTATGAAGTATATATACCTAGTAATATTTGTAATGACCATGACCATAAGATAGCACTAATCAAATTATCAGTTTTTGAAACCACTGTCTTGTTACGAGTATTCTGTAGTTTTTGCTACAATGAAATCAAAGTTCAAAAGAAATCTTGGTGGCGGGAAGCATATTTCCCTTCAGTATTGTTTGATCCTTATCTATAGGGATGGTTAATAATAGGTTAAAAAACTATTCTAAGAAAATGTTGCTTACAAAAGTTACTACTTCAGACTCCAGACAATGGGCAGAAATAAAAGCAAAAAGATAGACTGATTAAAGAACAGTTACTAAATTTATCCATAACGACTGATTTCTATGGGGGTTCCTGGTATTTAGTTCTTATGCTTTTTGGCATTATTAGGACTCATGCTGGTACCAGGCTCCAGCCCCACCACTCAAATTACTGAAGAATTTCCCACTTTGAAGATAAAATAAATAAGATGGCTTTACGTGATAGCCACTGAGATTTACTCCTGGCGATTGCTGTAACACGCTGGAAAGTAACTTGGAAAAATTGGTATCTATCGACAGTCTTCAATTATTCACAGCTTTGAATCAGTATTCCTATCATTCATAATAAATGGAAGAAATGTGAAAACAAAGGCATTTAGGTATTCATCTAGCTTTATTTATAAAAGCAAACTAAAAGCACAATGCTGAATTTAGTTAAGTTCTGAGGTATTATTTGGGTGAGAAAGTTGTAAATATTGATGGTCATGAGGCCATACCAAGTGAAATCCAGTTTAAAAGAGAGGAATTAAAAATATATACAGAACAATGATGTTTAAAAAAACTCACGCACCCCAAAAAGCAAATACAAATGAAAATGGACATGCATAGTTTTTGCTGATAGTTTTGAATTCAAGTGATAATTTGGGGCTTAGTATATTTCTTTTCATTATAAGTATATTTTAAAATATAGATTATTTAGACTCTTAACTCTAGAGAACAAACTGATGATTGCCAGAGAGAAGGGATGATGGGTGGAGAATGGGTGAAATAGGTGAAGGGGATTAAAAATATACTTCTCATGATGAGCACTGAGTAATGTATAGAATTGTTGAATCACTAAATTGCACACCTGAAACTAATATAACTCTGTATATTAAATATACTGGAGTTAAAAATTTTTAAATGCACAACTTTTATAATTTGAATACATTAAAAACATTTCCTGTATATAATATCCCTGACTTTTTTCTTTTTCTATCTCTTTAGAGCCTTTTACAAACATCAGAGAGTGGTAAGACAAGATCAACTAATTGGAGACTAGAAGCCTGAATCCTGTAAACAAACCATCTGAATCCCAGAATGTCTGATTCTTAACTATAAAAAAACATTGTCTTTAAAGAAAAGTTAAAAAATCAAATTAGATAACTCTTATAGTTCGCAGCTTAGTTAAATTATGTGAGGTAACACATTCAATGGATTTGGTAAATGCGTAACAAATACTGGATGTTTGCTTATTGTTCCTGGCTCTATTCTCTTTATTTTTAAAGCCAACACAACGTTAAATTGAAATGGCCTTGGGACGCCTGGGTGGCTCAGCAACTGGGCCTCTGCCTTTGGCTCAGGGCATGACCCCGGAGTACCTGGGACTGAGTCCCACATCAGGCTTCCTGCATGGAGCCTGCTTCTCCTCTGCCTGTGTCTCTGCCTCTCATGAATAAATAAATAAATACAATCTTTAAAAAAATAATAAATTAAAATAGCCCACTGACAAAAGAGGGGGTTAAAACTCAAAACTCTTGTCTCTCCGGACACTTTCACTTTTATCTCATTTATTTCCAAATTAGTTAGGGTGGGACTGCATGGCCCTTAGTATGGGCCTGAATAGACAAAAAAGTCACATTTATGTTAGCTAACCAGTATATGGCCAGGAAAAAGAGAACACCATTTGTGTTTCCAGAACAGAAAAACTATACTGGAAATAGAGGTGGAGAGGAAAGTAACTTGTTTTATTTTTATAGTGCCCCAGTGTCTAACAGAGATTAGCACCTAGTATTTGCCAAAAAAAAAAAAAAAAAAAAAAAAAAAAAAAACGCCAATAAAATCAGATGTGTAACTAAAGGGCTAGCACAGTTTTTGGAACAGGAGTTGTTCTATTTTTATTTTAAGTAGTGAAAGAACAGTGAAACTTCTATCCTTGAGAAAAAATGTGTACATATGTAATAGATTTGAATCTACATAATAGACTCTAAATGAACATACCTCTTTCCCTTCCTGCAGATTAATTCTTTCCTTATTATAATTTAAGTATCTTGGAAGGTACATATCGTAAGTGTCTATCATTCAGCCCAAATACACTGGCACTCATTCAGATACATATTCAAAGTTAGGTTTTTTCATTACAATTCCTATTTTTTAAAGGTTGTGTTTGGTTTTCTCCCCCCTTTAAGTAGCACTGATCATACCTCAGACAAGAGAGTAGGAAAAGTCTTACATCTTTTTAGAACTCAAACTAAGATTTTAAAATGCTTCTCAGCATTACCTTCTATGTATGTGAAATTCTCATGAGTCACTCTCCTCTAATTACATGCATGTATTTGATACAGAGACTTTAAAGATTTTTCTGCTTTTCAAGTATAGATCATTGACCGAAAAACTAAATTATCTGAAGGGCAAAGAGCCCCCAAATGGAAAATGATCTGGTAGGTTGTATCAGAACCCAACCACACTATCTGCTCCCAAGTTCATCTTCCAATAAAATGGACAAATGTCAGCTAAAAGTAGGACAGACTAGAGAGGAAAATGCCCTTGGGTTGGATATTTAAGTTTGAGGTCATCCTGAGCCATGAGTTGTTCTGTGGCAATTCCCAAACCTGTCTCCACAACACAATCACAAAGAGTGTTTATTTAAAATACAGATTCCTGAACTTCACCCTGGAGAATTTGATTGAGGAAGTCTGGAATACGGCCCCACCTTTTGTGTTTTTAAAAAACTACTCAAAGGGTTCTAAAGCAATGCCATTCGAGTGTGGTTTATTAATTCTAGGATTGCTGGTGAGTAACTAAAGACTTTCCACCGCTAAAATGAAAGGATGTGAAGAGCAAGCATTCTCAAGATGACTAAGGGAGGTCATGGGCTTTGAAAAGACGTAAAAGGTTGTAGGGTCCCAAGCCAAAGGCAGTCTGAGAATAGAAACTTATTAAAAGTTCCAGAGACTGTGGGTGCCCAAGGACAGAGGGTTATTGTTTCATTCTAGATAAGGTACTTAGTCTGAGGTGAAATGCTAAATGAAATTAGGCTATTGTGGGGACTGCTGTCATACGAGTACTACAG